ACCAGTTCAGGGAAATGGAAGCATTTGTTACTATCGATTCCAGTGAACCAGTCAGAACCAGTAGCATTTAATCCCTGTTCTTATGTACAACATGCTCCCAGTACTCCATCAGGTTGAGCTCCACATTTGTGGCTAACTGGTACTACACTCGAAGGTCATGGGGCACTTCCCGGGACAGGCAGTTGTGATACAACTTTTTGTTCAGGCCCTCCTGAATAAAAGACTAGCAGGTAGACCACCACACACTTGGGCCAATCTCTCAGGTGAGCCACCAGGCTCTGAAAATCTTGGATGTACTCTGTCACCATGTGCTTGCCTTGCTGCATGAAGCAGATACAGGTTTCTGCATGCCAGGATGCTGTGGGGTCTTCAAATCTGTCTCGCAACATCTGCATGAAAGCATCCAGGTTTTGCAGCTTTGGAGCCCCCTCATCATGGAGAAATACCAGCCATTCTGCTGCATCCCCCTCCAGGTTTGATGTACAAGTATTGACTCAGGCATACTCATCTGGATGCATTGCTCCATGGTGTTCCATGTAGTTCCAGACTTGGATCAGGAAGTAAGCCAAGTTATTGGGTTGCCCATTGAACTGGATTGCTAAGGCAGATAGCACTCAGTCTTCTCGCACTAAGACATATCCAGGCAGCAACCCCACTACAACCTGGGATGTTTGAATAAGAATACTGGTTGTCCCTGGGGCTATGTGTGCTGGTACCTGCCCCCAAATGGGGTGGCAGCTGGGATGGGACCTCCTGTCCCTTGATAGGGGGGGGGACTCCCACTTGCCTGGGTGGGATTGGTACCTCCAGGCAACTGAACTTTTCCCTTAGTTGCTCCAGCCACAGACTGCAAACTGCGACTGGGAATGTCCACTCAGTTGGGACATCCCATTTGGCTGCTCATCTAGCTTTCCACTTGCTCCTCTGGGTCACCATGACTCCAGGGGGATCAGTTGCTCCTCTACTTCTGCCTTCTTCCCCACATGGTTAGCCCACTGGCTCTTATTTCCAGTGATGTGGCAGTAGGAGTAGTTTTATTCCAGAGAAACGAAAAGGAAAAGTTGCCACCATGTGCCTACATGTTTCAAAGTTGTCTGATACTGAGAAGTAGTAGACCATCTGGAAGGAGGCTTACTCAGTCCAATAAGATCTTCTCTCCTGGAGGCAGTTCTAGAGGGAAGTAAGAGTTCATTTGAAGCATAGATGGACCACAAGAACCTGAAGACATTAAAGGCCCCGAGAAAGCTATCGCCTAAGCAGGTCCAATGGGTTCAATCTTTTAACCACTTCAATTTTACCTTTGCTACTGGCCAGGTGGTAAGAATTTCTTAGCTGATGTCCTTTCTCTTATGCCCCAGTACAGAAGTACCTGAGAGTAGGTTTTTAACTACATCATCCCATCCAAGCAACTTGCAGCGCCAGGGCTCACAAGGCAGCAGAGAACAGTCTCCACGCAGCTGGCTGGGGTCATGGTGATGAAACTGCTAAAAGATCCTTTGGAGATGGATGAATGGTTCCAGAGACATAAAGATGACTTGTTGAAGAAGGGTTTGGCATGGAAGGTGAGTAAAATGTATGTCACAGCCAGCCAAAGAATCTTGGCCCTGCAGAGGAGCCACAATGCAAAATCTGCAAAATTCCTTCCACTTGGGTCTTAGCCAAGATGTTTGTGATCTTGCACTATAGCACTTTAGGCTTCTGTTCTAAGTGAACCAAGGCCTGTACCAGATCCTACTGAAGAGCGTTTATTTATTTAGATTTATGTTGCAGCCTATGGCAACTCAAAGTGGCTTACAAAAATATAAAAACATCATATAAAAACAATAAAACTAATAAAAGAATTATATATAATAAAATAAAATCACCCCCCAGCCCCTGCCCCGGCGACAGCACCTCATACTAGCCATTTAATATGCTCCATCCCGTTCTGGATTCACCAGGCCCACTGGCCGGACCAGGTCTTCAGCGCCTTCTGGAAGAGTGCTAGAGTGGGGGGTCATTCTAATCTCTGTGGGGATGATGTTCCAGAGACAGGGGGCCACCATGGAGAAGGCCCTTCTTCTGGGTCTTTAAAGGTGACAACCAGCACCTTGAATTGCACCCGGAAGCAAATAGGCAGCCAATGTAGCTCCCGCAGGAGGTGATACATGTGGACATCGTGGTCTGCACAAAACCACGTGGGTCACTGCATTTTGCAGCAACTGGAGCTTCCAGATGCTCTTCAAGGGCAGACCCATGTATAGCACATTGCAGTAGTTAAAATGGGAAGTGACTTAAGGCAGCGATGGCTAACCTTTTTGTTGTTGGGTGCCAAAAATGTGAGCATGTGTGTGTGATGGTGTATGTACGTGCCCGCACCCATAATACAAAGTGCACCCCCACATGCGCATGTGTGTACAAACGCTCCCCCCACATGCATCGCACTGCTCACCTCCAAGCTGGGCTTGGTATTTCCTCTGGGGGTCTGGAGCCTGAGGAGGGTGAAAAACAGGCCCAACAGGCCTACCAGAGCCTGGGGAGGGCAAAAATGGCCTCCTGCAGCCCCCCCGAGGTCCTCCAGAAATGATAATTTCTGAACTTCCAGTAGTCCCATTGGGCCTGTTTTTCATCCTCCTCAGGCTATGGAGGCTTTCCTGAAGCCTGGGGAGGGTGAAAACAGTCTCCCCTGGTCCTCTGGAAAGCTGAAAATCAGCTGGCTGGCATGCGCATGCCTGCTGGAGCTGAAGCTTGCATGCCGGCAGATATGGCTTCATGTGCCACCTGTGGCATAGGTTGTCCGTCATGAGACTAGGGTATGAGTGACTGTAAATAGGGATTGTTGGTCCAGGAAAGGGCCTATCTGGCTCATAATCCACAGTTGCACAAAGATCCTGCTGGCCATGACCACAAACGTGCTCTTTGAGCAGGAGTTGCAAGTGCAGGATAACTCCCAGATTACGCACAGGGTTTGTTTGGGGTAGTGCCACCCCATACAAGACCAAAGGTGGCAATTCTCTCTGAGGCAACGAACCCCAAACCCAAAGCCACTTGGTCTTGCCAGGGTTTAGTTTCAACCCGTTGCTCCCCATCCAGCTCCAAACAGCCCCAAGGCACTGTGAGAGGGAGGACACGGCATTGCTTAACTTACCATGAGCCAAGACATATAGCTCAGTATCAGCAGCATATTATGATACCTCTGTCCATGGTGACAAATGATCTCACCCAGCAGCTTCATATAAATGTTGAACAGGAGCGGAGAGAGTACCGAGCCTTGTGCTATCCTGGTGCACTTCCTTCCTCTGCAGCCACTCTCAGTCAGTATTGATAGGAGGCGATAGATCCAGCCCTTACCCATTGGATCTCTCATCTCCTATCAATACTGATTGAGAATGGCCGCAGAGGAAGGAAGTGCACCAGGATAGCACAAGGCTTCTTACTCATCTCCTAAAGCCGCTCCAGAAGAATATCATGGTCAATGGTATTGAAAGCATTATTGTTGGATAATCAGAAAAAAGCTATGGAAGGTTATAATCAATTAATTGAAATATTAATTGATTACTGCAATGAGATTATTATATGCACAAGTATGGAAAGATTCAGCACTACTCACTAGGGAGAAAGGGCTGGTGAAATTGACACAACTTGCTGAGTTGGACAAACTAACTTCTTTGATCAGAAAAGGAATATCTGCATTTATTGGAGCCTGAAAACTCTGTGGAGTTTTTTTTTTTCTTAAAAATGAAAAAAAAAAAAAGACATTGTTTTGAGCAGGTGTTCCCGCCCTTGGTCTATGCACTGGTACTTGCCCACAACCCATTGAGTACCAAGCCATGCAAGCTGCAAGCAAGTGCACAAAATTTCATTTGCACACATAGCACTTGCAAAACTATCTCCTCCCCTCCATCAACACCAGTCAATGGAACCAGAAAGGTTGGGCCTGCTGGTTTTGAGGATTAGAAAGGATGAGTCATGAGTCAATAAGAGAGTCATGATGTAAATTCAAAGAGAGAAGTTAAAATATAATTGTATATATATTGTAATTGCTGTGAAGATTATTGGAAGCTACTTCTTTATACATTTATATATTGCTCTATATATATTCTCTTTTTTCCTCTTATTTTATTGTGCTTTTAGCTTTTTCGGTTATTCGCTTTCATTTTCATTTTCTCTACCTAATTTAATGTTTATCAGCTGTTATTATTGCTTTTAAAACTTTTGGAAAATATTATATGTATATTAAAAATTACACTTGATTCTACAAGTAGTCCTCAACTTACAACCACAGTTGAACCCAAAATGTATATTGCTAAGTGAGAAATTTGCCTGATTTATGACTTTTCTTGCCACGTCAGTTATTAAATTAGTACGTCAGTTATTAAATTAGTAAAACACTGCAACCATCATAAATGTGAGTCAGTTGTCAAGCATACAAATGAAATTCGTGACCATTGGGATGCTGCAACAATCACAAGTGTGAAAAATGGTCATAAGTCACTTTTTCAATGCTGTTGTAATTTTGAATGGTCACTAAGTAAACTGTTGTAAGTCGAGGACTACCTTTACTTCAAACACATTCATAAATATATTTGAACAGATTTTTAAAAATATTTTTAAGACGACAAAAAAGTTAAAAAAAATCCCATCCAAGAATGCACAATAAGATTTCAAATTAAACATAGGTAGGCATTGTTTTATGAAATATTGTATAATAATTTCAATACTGCATCAATTGTATCTCTAGCGTATGAGAAATTGTAGCTCTGTATCAATAATATGTGTAAAAATCATGATCCATATTTGAAATTCATCTTTTGGTATTCACCTTTTGATATTCACATAAGAAGAGAAAATGTGTTATTTAAATCTGCATTAAAATAATGCAATATTTTCAATAATCTATTAATATAAAAATATTTAATAACATAATGAACATACCCTTCACAATTAATCTTTTTCATATCACTAATCGCAATAATATTTATCATTTAGACATTTTTTACACAAATGTTCTTTTATTATTATTAATTATCATTGTTCAACTTAGGAGACAGATTATTCATTGTTTTCTTTAACTGATCGTAGTTGCAATGTAGCTGCTCCACCTCAGCTTTATGTTTTAAATGCATTTCATTTAATTGTTTTAAGAGATGCTCATTGGTAGAAATCAATATTCTGCAAAAAAATAAAAACATCAAATTTGCTTCAACTGACATATTCCATTAGAAAATAAATTCAAGGCATGAAACCCACTGGGAAGAACAAGTCTTTGCAATTAAAATTTTGCAATAAACTTACTGTAGATCATAGAATTGTAGTGATATAAGGGCCTGTGAAGATATTTCAGTCTAACCACCTGTGCCGGACAGAAATCCTCAAATTTTCTTACACAAATGGCTGTTCAATTATTTTCAAAAACCTCCAGTGAGGGTGCATCACTGCTTCAGGAACCAAATTATTCCAGTTTCATAGTTCTACTATTAGGAAGTTCAAGTTTAAAATTTCTACTCATTGGTTCTTGTTCTATCTTCTGGCACTATAGAGAACAAATCCACACCATTCCTATGTGACGATCCTGCAAGTATTGGAACACTACTACTAAGCTTTCATTCTTAGACATAGAATCAAAGAATCATAGGGCTGGAAGAAACCTTGACAGTCTTCAAGTCCACCCCCCTGCCCAAGACAGAAATCCTTATACCAGCTCAGACAAATGGTTGTCCACTCTTTTCTTGAAAACCTCCAGCAATGGAGCATCTACAACTCCAGGACACAAACTGTTTGAATTATCCCAAGGTGCTTTTTCAAAAGGCAACTGGACTTTCTTTGTTTTTCCTTGAAGACATTTTCCTTCTCATGCAAGTTTGCAAGCCTTTGGCACATGACTTGAATGACTGAGATCTCCATTGACATGAGCTGCATGGATTCTGATTGAAATCACTAACAAGTTTGCATACAACATTAGCAAACCAAATGAATCAGGTTCTGAAAGCACCAGAAAGTGAAAAATGGCTAACAACCTTTTTGATTAGGAAGGATATAGAAAATTATGCCAACAACATACAAATTAATTACAGGCATTTTGCAAACCAAATTTATGAATATCTACAAAACAGCGATTTACTACCTGTACAGAAAGTTTGCTGCAGAAATTCAAGAGGAACTAAAGATCAACTGATGATTGATAAACTGGTTTTGAAGAATTAAAAGAAAAGATAAATAAATTTGTTCACTTCCTGGATAGATTATAAGAAAGCATTTGATTCTGTTCCACACAGCTGGGTTGAGAAATGCTTAGACATTTTTGGAATTAGCAGCAAATCCAGAAATTGCTGAAGATTTCTATGAAGCTACAGCAAACTAAGTTGATGGCCTGTGGAGAAGAACTTGGTGAAGTTGTAATCAAATGAGGAATCTTCCAAGGCAACTCCTTGTCACCTCTGTTATTTGTACTTTTGATGGCACCATCAACAAGCATTTTGAATCGATGTTCCAATATTTTTTAAAGATACGATACAATGGTTCCAGTGGTGGGTGGGATTCAAATAAGTTAACTGACTCTCTGCCCTAATGATCAGCTGGGAGGATGGTGGCCATGGCCAAGGGGTGTGACAGGCAGCACTTAGCCTTCTGCCACCCTGAGAGAAAAAACAGGGCCTGGGGGATCCATGCTGCACCCGTTCCCGCACACCATTTTGGGCCTAGTAGGCCTCCCTGTACTTACCTGGGAGCCAAAACGGGGCACCTGGGGACTCCTGGAAGGGGCAGGGCAGTTAGGGGAAGGGCCAGCCAGCAATTTAAAAACCAGTTCGCCCGAACCAGCCCAAACCAGCTAAATCCCACCACTGATGAGATGACATCTGCCAGCTCCTTTAGAACTCTGACATGTAATCCATCAGGTCCCAGTGATTTATATTAATCAAAGTCAGACAGGTGTTCTCTTGCCATTTTGTTTATTTTAATTTTTATTTATAGTCTGTCTTTCATAGTTATGTTTTTGGTAGATTGGGCTTTTTGTGTGAAGACTGATGCAAAGAATGAGTTAAGCAACTCTGCTTTCTCTCTAGTGTCTGTTACTTCCTTGCCATCTTCTCTCTTTAGTGTACCAACTGTTTCCTTGACTTTTTTCTTGTTATTTACCGGTATATGTTGAAATAAAATTTGTTTTTATTATCTTTTCCTTTTGTTGCAAGTCTTTGTTCATTCTGAATCTTTGCTTTCCTGACTTCATCTTTGCAGATTCCGGCTGTTGATACTCTGCCATAGTTATGTGTCCCTCTTTCCATTTTTGTCACTTATCCTTTTTGTCTTTCAGTTTATCAGATCCTGGTTCTTCTTGGATTTCTTGTTTTTCTTTTTCAGCAGTATTGTGTTGGACTGGGTTTTTATGATCATATTTTTCAGTGTTTCCCACACTTTTGACTTGTTTTCCCCTTTAGGATTTTTATGCTTGTTTTCCCCTTTAGGATTTTTATGCATGAAATTTTGCTTAGACTCTGAGTTTGTTAAAATAAGCTATTTTAAAGTTTAAGGTACTGGTTGGATTATATTCTGCTTCTTGTGTTTACATTATATTGAATTCCAGTATGACCTGGTCACTGTTGTTCAAGATTCTGGCAACTTCTATCACTTCTTCTCTATTAGTAAGAATTAGATCCATTGTACTTTTTCCTCTAGTTCCCTCCTCTATTTTTTGAAGGACAAAGTTGTCAGCTCAGTTGGTTATGAATCTGTTCGATCTCGCACTTGCTGCAGAGTTTGTCTCCCAGTTAATATCAAAGTAGTTAAAGTCTCCCATTACTACTTGGTATGTTTCCTGCATACATTTGTTAATTGATTCCTCTATTTCTTCTGCTTGGTTGGTAGCATATGCCTATAGCAATGTCATTTTCCTCCCTTTTATATTGACCATATGGATTCTAGGTGGTTTTCATCCTTGATTTTGTATATTTCTGTAGAGATATAGCGATCTTTTATATATACTGCAACTCCACCTTCTCTTTTGTTAAGTCTGTTTGTTTTGAATAGTTTGTATCCTTCCATCAGTACATTCCAGTCATGTGTTTTATCCCACCAAGTTTCAGTAATGATTACTATATCATATCTGCTTTCATGTACTAATACTTCAAGTTAACCCTGTTTGTTCCCTAAACTTTGAGTGTAAGTATATGGGCATTTGAATTATTTATGGTTCTTGGGTTTGTTTCTTATATTTCTCTGTAACTGGAATTTCCATTCTTTCCATCACTCTCTACTTCATTATGTTTTTCTTTTTTTACTTCTTTTTTCTCTTTACTCCCTTCTTCCTTATGTGATTGGTAAGCTAGTCGTTTTTGCTTGGAATTAGGTTCTCAAGGTCATGAAGACTGGCCCCTTCCCTCATTTTAGTTTAAAGCCCTTTTGATAAGATGAGCCAATTGTTTTCCAAATATATTCTTTCCAGTTCTTGTGAGATTCACTCCATCCCTTGACGGTAGTCCTTTGTGTAGACCATGGTCTAGGAAGCTGAAATTCTATTGACAATACACTTTTTAAGTCAGTGGTTTGTTTCTAAAATCCTTTTCTCCCTCATTGTATGTTGGCCTTTTGTTGGAAGTATAGATGAAAACGCCACTTGTGCTTCTAGTTATTTAACTTTCTTCCCCAGCTGTTCATAATCTCTTGTTATTGTTTTTAAATTCATTGTTGGGTCATTGGTCCTCATGTGTAGAAGAAAGGGGCAGTAATCCATGGGGTTTATTGTTTCAATAAGGTACTCAATTACATCTTTCATTTTTTGCTCCAAGGATTCTGTGATGCCATTCCATTTTTGGCAGTGCTTGTCTTCAAAGCTGATGTTTGAATATAGAGGTACTCCTGACTGAATGGAATAGGAACAGGTAAGAATAGAAAGAGTGGATTTTTTAGCTTCTTTATTGTTATATTATATATTTATCCGTTTGACTACATTGCAATGCTTTCCTTTTAAGCTATGAAAAGTTCAAAGTCAATTGGAAATGACCGACAGTTAAGTTGAATAAAGTAAATTTTGGCTAGATGGAACTGAAGAATGTGGTGAGATTTCTGGGATGTAAAATTACTGTTAAATATTAGCATGTAAGAGCAAAATTTGGGATTCTTTACCTATGGTTTTCCTGTAACATCTCTGTCATTTCTCGCATCTTGTTAAAATTTTGGAGATGTTTCTTCATACTAGCATTCTCGTCAATTAAAAGTTGATGGTGGTCTTCAAAATCTAATGCAAGAGTAAAAAAAAAAAGAACTAGAGTTACAAACACACAAATACCACACATGGAATAATTGGAAACTATAAAGGAAAAGTAACATGAGAAAGATTATGAGTTTGTTTATGAATTTCCAGTTTTTATTTTTCTCCAAATCATTTTACACAGGTAGCCATCTGAGTTTGTACAAGACTAGCTAGTGGTATATCTGACCTTTATTAGAATCAACTGTATCATATAAGATAGTACCTTTTTCACTGATCATTTATTTTGATTTTGACAGAATTAAATTCTGGTCACCAGAATAAAAAAAATTGAGACCATAGAAAGAGTGCAGAGAAGAACAACACATATCATAAGTGGTCTGGAAGTTAAACCATATGATCAACAATTGAGAGAAATAGATTCCTCTAGCCTAAAAAGGGAAGGACTATGAATTATATCATAACACATAGTCCTTTCCAGTACTTCAGGGCCTGACAGAGAGAAGAGAAGGGTCAACTTATTTTCCAAAACATCTGAGGGGAGGACAAGAAGTAATAGATGGAAGTTCATTAAATCTTTTGTGAAGTTATTGAAGGGTACTAGCCCTAAAACAGAACACTGGAGAATCCACTGCTTACTTTCCTCCATGTAGAAGTTGTTCCATTAAGTACTACATGTTGAGTGTCGTTTGTCAGCCAGTTTCAAATACATCTGGTGGTGATGCTTATTGAAATCCAACTATACTATGTCCATTGCATTTCACTGGTCCACTAATTTAGTCACTTTGTCAAAGAATGAAGTAAGATTTGTTTGACATGATCTATTTTGGACAAACTCATGTTGGCTTCTAGTTATAAATCTGCTTACTCACATACCTGCTACTTGATCACTACATGACAAATTTCAATTTAGTTTTTGTTCCTGGGTACAAAGAATGTTTTCCTAACCCTTTGTGCCTAAAATAAATAGAAAATAACCATTGTTCCACAAAACTTTTGCTTATGTGATCAGGGCACTGATATTTTGAAATTTATCTCTTTTCAAGAACATTTTTGATTCACATTCAATGCTGATTAGACTTCTAGAATATTTTTGAACTGTGAGGACTGTCCAGAATGTTCTAGAATTGGCTAGAATGTTCTAGAACTGTGATGGCAAACTTTTTGGCTCGCTTTTGTGCCAAAAGCGGGGGAAGCGCACCCATAATGCTAGGCACACGACCCCAGCGCGCATGCACACATGACCAGCATTCCCCCTCATTTTTGGCGTGCTTTTTTCACCCTCCCCAGGCTCCAGAGGCTTTATAGGCACCTGCGGAGGGTGAAAACAGTTTCCCCTGCCCCCACAGAGGCCCTCCAGAGGCTTCAGGAATTTCCCTGAAGCCTCCAGAGAGTGAAAAACTGGCCCTATGGGCAAGCCAGAAGTTTGGGAATGGACTTCCGTTTGCTTGTAGAACTGGTTTTAGTCCTTCGGAGCCTTCAAGGGCTTTCATAAGGTTCCGGAGGGCAAAAAATGATCTTACGAGCAAACCGGAGTGACTCCTGGTTTGTTAGGGTCTTTTTTTTACCCTCCAGAGCCTTCAAAGAAGCCTGCTGAAGGCCTCTGAAACCGGAAGTCTGTTTCTGAACTTCCGGTTTGCCTGTAAGTCCAGTTTTTCGCACTCCAGAGGCTTCAGGAAAGCCTCTGGAGGGCAAAAAATGGCTTCAAAAGAAAGTCGAAGCTGACAAGGCAATGCATTGTGTGCCATGACAAATGGCTCCGCGTGTCACCTGTGGTACACGTGCCATAAATTCACCATCATGGTTCTAGAATGTTTGGAATTTTCTAGAAGTTTCAAATACTTTCTAGGAGTAGTCATAGAAATATATAAGTACAAGTGTTACACCAACATTTTTATTTGTCTAATTGCTGAGTAACGGAATACTTAATAGTAACATTTGATTTAGATGGCATCAAGAAGTTGCTTGCATCCAGCATTTTGCATTTTGGATTTTGCTATGTATGTGGACAATTTATCAAGACTCTTTGAAAACATCTGGCAAGATGTGTGAGGCCTACAAAGTACATTTTGGCTCACATGCAAACACTGCAAAAAAAAGTCTTGAAGGGGAAGAATTGCTGTTCACTAGATTAAATTTCAGTGCTTCATTACTATTTTAAAAAGTTGCAATTAAGACAATTTCCCCTATTTTCAATGTTCTAGGAAAATACAGACTGTGATACATGTTTTTTACCCTATGGTAATATCTTGCACATTAGGTAATGTGTAAAATATCAATTTTAAAAAATTGATATAATTCTGCCATGTTTACAGGCTTCTACAGGGGGAAAAAAGGAGCCATGAAGTTTGTTATTTGAAGAATTAGATGGGAACCAACTAATCACTCAAGCAACTAATACTTCTATATGGTGAACCCTTCCAATCATTGAACTGGCAAGTTCCTATCATGTATCCATCCATTGCCCCAGTACCACACTGTCCTGAGCTTCCCAGTACCATCCCTCTAGAGAGGGATCAGTCATACTCAGGAGAAAGAAGCAACTCAGATAGCAAGAAAAATATGGCAGATACAGATTATAATTTCACAGATGCAGCTGAGGAAAGCAAGTCATACTTCCCCAACCAGAAAGACCTCCACAATTTGATTAGCTTCTGACATCTACGCTCAAGGAGTGGAAGTTATTGGATGAAAGTATGCAAGTCACAGAGACAGCATCACCAATGTTTTCCCAACATCTTCAGTTGGCAAGATGGGCTATTCTTTTGCAACACTGGCCTATTCGAAGCTATAGGAATTGCCTGTAACACAAGTGAATGGTGCTATTCATAGAATTCAGGAACCTCAAAACTATATGGCTTCATACTGGAAACAAGTACCCATCTCTACCCATGGCTCAGTCTGTATACCTCAAAGAGGACTATACCAGTGTCAAGATGTTACTGAGTGATTTGAAGTATGGTGACTATGGCTGGGAGGTCATTGGAGACTTCAAAATGGTGTCATTCCTGATGAGCCTGCAAGGCAGTTTCAATAAGTTTTCTTGGGTTTCTTTGCCTCTGGGACAGCCAGGTCACTAAAGTGCATTATCACAGAAGGAACAGGCCACAGTGAACCAAGTTCTCCATAGGGAAGAACAGCATAAAGTGGGAGCCACTGATAAACCCTTGGAAGGTGCTGATGCCACAATTGCATATCAAATTAAGCCTCATCAAATAATTTGTCATGTTTCTAAAAACAGAGTCGGCACCTTTCAAGTACCTCAAAGATCTATTTCTATAGCTGTCAGAGACAAAGGTAAAGCTGGTATCTTTATCAAACCACAGATAAAGAAAGTCATGGAATTTGCCAAGAAGCTGAACAGGATGGAGAAAGTGGCTTGGAATAGTTTTGTTGCAGTAGTTCATAATTTTCTGGGCAATCACAAAGCTGAAAACTATAAGCAACTGGTTATAGTTGTAACCAGTTATAAAGAATTACGTGAAAATGGGGTGCAGAATGTCCCTCAAAGTCTGTATCTTTGATGGTCATCTTCACAAATTCAAGAAGAACATAGGTACTAAGCATAGTATAAAGGAAATTACCATTGGCTTACCTGAAGGGTCATTCTCTATGCGCTGCAGGAGAGTCCAAGCATTGATTAGTCTGGTTGCCCAAGGACTGAGTTCAAATTCTTTAGCCACACCTCCTGTTCCTACTTAAGGCCAGATTTTTAATGATTCCTGGAATCAGAAGGTGCGATGAGATGGTGTGGAGATCGTCTGGTGTTCCCAAACCTTGGACCCACACGATATTTGGGTGGGGTTGGACTCTCCCGCAGCACACAGAGAACGACCCTTCAGATAAGCCAATGGTCATTCTCCTCTGCGCTGCTTGGAGAGTCCAAGCATGGGACATACCCAAGTTAATTGTCCCCAGGGCGGGTAGAAGAAGAGGCCAACAGTTCGGCTACAGAATGCACTTGCTGCAGCACCCATCTGCCAAATGAAGCCTCGGCTGTATCCAATTTATAGTTCCGGACAAATGAAGAGGGGGGACAACCACGTCGCTGCTCTACAAATGTCCTCTATAGTTGCCTGTGTTGCCCAGGCCGTGTCGTGGAAGCATTCCTCGTGGAGTGGTGGGTGATGTTGTGTGGAACTGCTCTGGACTGATGTTCATATGCCAGGGCGATGCATGCCCTTAGCCATCAGCCTATAGTGGATGATGTCACCTTGCGTCCCATTGACCCTGGTTGAAAAGATACGAAAATGGCTCAGACCTACGGAACTCCATGTTCTCTTCACGTAGCTACGTACAGCTCATCGCGCATCCAGTGTATGTGAGGTATGTTCCCTGGGATGTCTGGGTTGCGGGCAAAAGTCCAGTAGAATAACCTCCTGCGACCTGTGAAACCAAGTGTTAATTTTGGGAATAAACGTGGCCCAAATCAAATAATAAATTCTGGTGGTTGAGAGCCTCCTGGCCGCTTGGATCACCTTGTTTGAAAAATTATCCCTCCTCAGGAAGTCCCCCTCAAGTGCCAGACAGACAACTGAAGCTACTGGGAGTCTGGGTGGACAATGGCCCCCTGGCTGAGGGAGACCTGATCCTGAGAGATGAGCCAGGGATTCACCACCGAAAGATTGATGAGATCGGTGTACCAGACCTCCTGGGCCAATGAGGGGGCACCAAGAGAACCTCTGCCCCTTTGGCGATGATCTTGTGAACTATTTGTGGAAGCAGAGGCAGAGGTGGGAAGGTCTATAGAAATCCGTCCCCTCTGCCTGAGGAGAGTGGAAATGGGAGAAGGGGGGAAGCTGTGTGTTCTCCTGGCTGGCGAAAAGGTCAACTGTTGGAACTGCAAACCTCAGTGTTAGCTGGTGAAAGAGGTCCAGATGCAGGCCACTCTGAATTGTCTGTGATGGTCCTGCTCAGTCAGCCCACTTAAGTGTTGTCCACTCCTGAGATGTGGTCCTCCCAAATTGACTGAAGATGTTGTTCCACCCACTTGCTCAAGGCCTCTGCCTCCGTCATGAGGGACTGGGAGCGCGTCCCCCTTGGCAGCTGATATGGGCCTTAGTGGCCACATTGTCTGTCATAAACAAGATGAGGTTGTGTTGAATATCCCATCTGAAATGGCAAAGGGCGAGTCTCACTGCTCTCAGCTCCAGGCAGTAGATGTTGCGGTCTGATTCTAAAGACCACCTGCCCTGCATCACTTGATTGCCTAGGTGAGTGCCCCAGCTGAATAGGCTGGCATCTGTAGTCACTACCAGCTGCTCTGATTTCTTGAACAGCTGGCCTTTCTTCCTGACCGGAGACAGCCACCATCAGAGGGAGCGCCTCATCTTCAGGGAAAGTCGGACTGATGTCAGGGAACTGCTCTTGTTGGCTCTTTTTCTAGTGGTAACAAGATCCACTGGAGTGCCCTTGCATGGAGCCTTGCCCAGGGTACCACTGTTATGCAGGAAATCATCTTGCCCAATTACTGGGACAGATGAATGACTGCACCTGCCTTGCCCTCTGCACCTTGAGAACTAGGGCTCTTAGGCTGTCTAACCTCTCTTTTGATAGGTGAACCCTGCAAGCTAGGGTACTGATTTCCGTGCCTAAGTGAAGGAGCCAAGTGGTCAGATCCAAGTGGCTTTTCTCCAGGTTTACAGAGAACCCATGGCCTGGAGGCTTCTCATGGCGTCACGGAAGTCGCGAACTGTCTGTTCCCTTGACGATGATTAATGAGGATGTCATCCAGGTAACATACTAGTCTCACCGGCCTCCTTCTGAGGTCTGCTGCCACCACTGAGAGAATTTTACTGAAGGTCCTGGGTGCTGACGACAGGCTGAAGGACATGATCCTGTATTGGTAGTATCAGCCTGCGTAGAAGAACCTCAGGAACCTTCGATGATGAGGCCAAATTGGTATGTGCAAATATGCCTCCTTTAGATTTACTGATATGAGTAGATCCCTGTGCCTTATCCCTTCAAGGATGGTTTGCAGGGACTGCATTTTGAACCTCCTGTACATTACATGGTTCTATGGCGTTGATTTCCAGGAGATGTTGAATCTCCTTGTGCATCAGCTCCCTCTTGGTTGGGCAAGAGGGAGTGGTACAGTGAATGAAGTTCCTCAGGGGAAGGGAAATGAACTCGAGGGTGAGGCCCTGTCTCACCATCTGTAGAACCCAAGAGTCCAATGTGGTAAGTTGCCATTGGTCGGCGAACTGATGGGAGACAGACCATGCTGGTCACTTGGTCTTACGGAAGGGCATCTGGGAGGCTCCTCCTTGGTTAGTCCTATGGTAGGGATACTATTGCCTGCCTCTATCTCGAAAGGACTGCCTGCCCTGAGACCCTTCGGAAGGCTGGGAATATGGTCTGTGGAATGTTGAGGTGTTGAAGGAGGAATCAGATGCCCAAAAGAACTGCCTCCTAAAATAAGATTGGTTCTTCCTCTCCTGTTTTTTGCTACTGATGGGAAAAACCTTCCTCTTATCTTTGGATTCGACCAGCATAGAATCCAAGGCCTCCCCAAATAGCTTGTCACCCTTAAAGGGGGCAACGGCCAATTTCCATTTTGATTTCATATCTAGTTGCCAATGGCGAAGCCAGAGGAGATGTTGAGATGTTACGTTAGATGCCAGTGCCCTGGAAGCAAATTTTGCTGCATTTAAGGAGGCATCAGTCAAATACTGGGCCACTGCAATAATTTTAATTATGTCTTGTCTGAAACATGTGTCCTCTGCTGGTAATTTATACTGCAGGTGCTTTAACCAAAGGATAGAAACTCTATTAAAGAAGGAGGCAGAGGTAGAGGCCTTAATTGCCCATGCTGTCGCTTGGTGTGTTTTGTGGCAAACCTTTTCTGCCTTCCTATCCTCTGATTTGAGACCCTCCATAAGGTCTGCCGAAAGAACCAAATTAGATGTCAGAGTCCACTGGAGGATCTACAGGAGGTAATTTGAGGACTTTTTCCAAATTCACCTCCACTGAATAGAGTCTCTTGTCCTCCCTGCTAGGAGTGGCCAGGGAACCTGGCTGGGACCATTGGCGTTGCACCACTTCCATAAACAGTTCAGGCACAAGGACAACTTCCTGGGCCAGAGCCTGTGTTTTGAACATGCTGTTCCTGGGATTGGGAGGACCCACCAAGTTGCGTGATGGCTTTTGCCTCATGCAAAATGGACTTGAATGTAGTGGGTTTGAACAACTCTAGAAGACAGGGGTGTCTGGAGGAAGATCTTCATCCTCAGACAGTTCCTGGTCATCCTGATCCTGCTAATCTCCTACAGAAACCTCGCTGATGGCAGAAGATTCCAGGGATGAGTGCCCCACCCTGCGCATGGAAGCCCCAGGGTTCTTCCTGCGCTTGCCTTCTGATTGGCCATACTTGTGCTGAAGTCCTTCAGCTATCACCTGTGAAATGGCATGTGCAATCACCTCCTGCACTTCAGAAGAAAGCACTAGGCCCCTATCCTCCCTGGAGTGATGTCTAGCCCAAGGAAGTGAGGAAGAAGGTTCTGGGCCTGAAAGCCTAGGAGGAGACTTAGAAGGCAAGTCTGGCTCCAACTGAAATGAATGGCCTGGAGAGCTGGGCCCCAACACTGAATTATCAGGAGATAAATCTAAGGCCTCGCCCTCCTCCTCCAACTCCTGCTGGGGGTCTGGGCGATTAATGGGGAAGAGATCTCTCGCCTCCTGAAGCCCCACAAATCTGCCTTGCCCCTGGGACTTTGGGATTGCTTCCCCTAAGGCCTTGCCCTTGCCTGCCATCCTGCTCCTCCCCTTGGCCTTGTCCCTGGTGTTGGCCCAGGCGGGCCAGAACTAATGTGTCCCGAAGCCCCGGATACTCCGATGCGATGGTAGGCATTCCAGCATCTGGCCAGCCGATGCAGGCTCGGATGGATTAGCCGGTTGCAGCCCTCTCACAGGAACCAAGGGAGAAAGATGCTTGTGCTGAGAAACACCGGCCAAGCACACCAAGGACAAACAAACGCAGCTGCATGGTTCCTGCAGCCTCGGTAGCCACATGGTCTCTCTTCACCTCACTGGCGCTGCTACAGAAGGCGAAGTCTGCAGGGCAATTTCTGGTGGTGAAATGGAGGATCTGTAGAATGACCACGTGGTGGCCAAAACAGCACGGCCACCCAGAATAAAAAACTAAAGGCTTGGGTGGTAGCCGTGTTGCCAGCAACCCGGACAACACCCACACACCACCCAGTGGTGATCCTCCAGGAGCCGAGCAGCACAGACCAGCATCGCCAACAAAAGCGCACGAAGTGGAGGCTTGCAATTGATTGCCAAGCGCAGAGGGAGGGTGAATTCAAAATGGGGGCTGCAGCCCCCATTTGCTCACCGCAAAAAAACCTCCCAAGTTGACAACTTTAAAAAATATGGTCTGGGGAAGCTGTCCACAGCGCCAGACACCTGCAGCTTCCCCTAAGCAGTCAAGCCTCTGACCAGAAAGCATGGAAGACAATCACCCCTCAATAGTTTGCTCCTCGCTCTCTCACTTAGGTAGACAATCCAATTCAAAAGAAAAAGAAAAATACACACAAACTAAAACAATAAATCTGTGCTCAATTTGGAGAGTCCAAGCCAAATTAACTAATACAGCTGGAGCTCACTTAAGTGCATCCTGAGCAGGCCAGACTGAGTTAAAAAACTGGCCTTAAGGAGGAACAGGAGGCGTGACTAAAGAATTTGAACTCAGTCCTTGGGCAACCAGACTAATTTAACCCATGCTTGGAGTCTCCAAGCAGCACATAGGAGAACATGATGAGGGGCTATATTTAGCAGCTTCTTCAAGAAAGTGGTTTGCAGTATAATAATTTCTGAACCCTTTTGAATATTTAACAATATTTGCCATATATTATTCTTTCTCTAATTGCTTAAAAAGTTAAAAAATTCTCCTGTTTTATCTCTATAAATATGAAACTTTTGTAGGTTATAGTCACAAAATCATTTTTTGTAATGAATAGAGCTGTTTTTGCATAGCTCTTTACACATAAGCAATTGAAATATAATACTGGTAAGCTGGAAACAAAAAATGTGTTCCACAATGTTATATTTTCTAGGATCTTCCTGCATATTGATGTTAGACTGATTGGTCTGTAGTTTCCTGGATCTGTCTTTTTTTCTTTTTTGAAGATGGAAACCACATCAGCAGTTTTCCAATCCTCTGATAGTTCTCCAGTGCTCTGGGATCTTTGAACGATTCAATGTTTCTGAGATCACCTCTGCCAGCTCCTTCAAAACTCTGGGATGCATTAATATATTCCCTTGATAATAAATTATTGTTAACATTGATATTGAAAACATATATAATCAATTTTGATAAGAATTGTCAATGAAAAATGAGATTCAGTAAGAATCTCCTTAGATGAAGGGATTCTATGAGATCACAACACTAGATCCCATCTTTCAAGAGGCTCAGAGTAGAAGCAAAGCTTCAGCAAACTAAACTTGTTAATTAGAATCTGACTTTTAAAACAAAGAACTACTATCTACTTATTTCTATTTCTACAATACATTCAATATTAGTAAAATTAGCAATGATGATTTGTATTTTAGTATATATAGTTAAAGATTATAATTAGAGTTACCTATAATCTGACAATGAAAAGGTAATTGGAACAAAATTTTCCCAGAATTTACCAGTAATCTGTAATGATGTTGTATCAGCGGTGTCTGAAAACTGAATGCTTTCTTCCACTTTGAATTTATGAACCTTTAAGCCATCTTTTTCTTTCAGTAACTTATTTAAATAGAGTTTCAGTGCATCCTAAATTTAGAAGAGTAAAGAAAACATATGAACACAATTAAATTAAAATCAAATTTTAAATTTTGTGACTAGTTAGAAAAATAAGCAAAAAATGAAAGAATCAAGTTTAATAGAAATAAATGAAAAAGTCTTCACTTAGGAAATAAAATTAAAATAAATGTATTGGGCCTGCTTTGTAGTTCAGTCCGATGAGACAAAGGAAACAAGTTTCATGTTGATTGGCTGTGGCTACTGCCTCCGTGTCCCAATCCCTGAAACCACTCATTCAAACCAGCAGCAAGCAGAAGACATCCATGGTGCAATCCAGGTTGGGACCAAATGAGGCCTACAGGGAGAAAAGTGGCTGTCTTTTACTCAGACACTGCAAAGCTGTTTTTCTTAGTTCTTATATTCTTATAGCTTTACTAGCATTTAAATAAAAGATGGCCCTTTTCTGCACATGGGTCAGCCTCTTCTGGAACACTGGAGATCTTTGAGAAGATAAATGAGTGATTCGAGCAGGATGGGGAAAGGCAGTTGGAATCTGGGAGGTTAGCAAAGCAGGCCCAGTGCCTTTAGAAACCTGGCAGGTCAGGATAGGGGAAGAGGAAATAACTATGGGGACCCCAAGGAATTGTAAATTGAGCATGAGATATCTCAGTGGATGGGGGGAGGTCTTGGGTAATTGGAAGGGTAATTCCACCACTAGCTCCCCCCTCCCCACGGTCTTCCCTACCCTGAGATACCTCATGTGCACATAACGACCTATGCATTAGGTTAATGAATGCATTGAAGAAAGCAGGGAGACACCACATTCATTTAGCATGATCCAATTGATTAATCCTCCTGTTATGAATATAATTGGCAGATTCTATTACATTCATAACTTGAGGGTTACCTGTATAAATTTAGTCCTAGTTTGATAGGGAGCCAGCAGAAAAGTGTCAAAGACAATGAAATTCCCAGGCTAGTTTAGCAACTGAATAAGGACATTAGGCTGATCAACTTCTGGAAGGTCCTTTAAGGAAAAAGAGAAGCTCTTGATTTATGAATTCTCAAAAGTTACTTATGACCCAATTTTAAAGGCATGGCTATTACAGTGTTCCTGCTGTCATGTGCATACAATTCAGACAGACTTGCCCCAATGACTAACTGCAGAGGCCCTGCAGTGCCCCTATTTATCTGCTTACCAATCCTGCCCTGTGGACAGGAATGGTATACACTTACCTTCCCTACTGGTTCATAAATGTGAGTGCACACACTATTAAATTCCTGCCCTAGCATAGGATTATTAGGAGCCGAGTTGACGCAGTGGTTAGGGTGCAGTACTGCAGGCCACTTCAGCTGACTGTTATCTGCAGTTCAGCAGTTCAAATCTCACCGGCTCAAGGTTGACTCAGCCTTCCATCCTTCCGAGGTGGGTGAAATGAGGACCCGGATTTGTGGGGGCAATATGCTGACTCTGTAAACCGCTTAGAGGGGGATGAAAATCCTATGAAGCAGTATATAAGTCTAACTGCTATTGCTAACTGCTATTGCTATTATTAGTAACTAGTTATAGTATAGTTAAGATTGAATACATATCTATTCTCACACAAAAAAAGTTTTAAAGTATTAAAGAAAACCTATATTCTACTCACCATATCTTTCTTATTTTTGCTCAACTCTGACTTTAGATTATTAATCCTGATGCTATATTGTTTCTCTTGTTGAGCTAGACACTGTTGTAAGGCTTCTTTCTCTAAGAGAAGTTTATTCACCTCTTGATTCTCTGTGGAATAATGCTTCTGTTGACCTGCTGGCAAAGATTTCTGAACTGCAGACAAAACCATTTCCGCTTGATCTGGGATGTAAAGAAATTTATCTGTCTATAATTAGTGAGAACAGAAAATTAAACAAAACAAGTGCCTTCATAAAATACTGGATGATAGAAAATTCATTTTATGATTCTGTTGGATTGTTATAGATAGCGTGTCTTGCAGACATGTTTACATTCCACAGTATATTATTCCAGCATATAATAGGTCTGAGTTTTGATCACTTTAAAACCAGTAAGCTAAAGTTAAGGATTGCAAGATCAATTAAGATCATTTGATAATAAAAGTTAGTATTGATACTATTATTTTCCAGGAAAAGGTTGGGTACTCTTATTAGCATTCTGCACTTGCATATCTGAAGAAATAAATGTAGGCAAAGAAAAACATTTACACTACAAAAAAAACCCCATAGGCAATTAAGGTTACCTAGGTCCAGACCGAGTTATGAGCCACTAGTTCCACAGACCTGGTCTTGAGAAATAGAAGGGGTGCTGAATCATGGTCCTTGGCTACAGAAGGAGTTTTGTTGATAGAGGACAGCAACAATTTAAAGAACACTGTACGGGATGCAGCCAACAAGCCAGAGAGAGTCTGGTAAAAAGCCCATCCCAGATCAACTGGATTAGAAGGCAAAAGGACTGAGCCTTCCAGCAGGATACTATGTCTTTGATTAGGGTACAAGACCAGCACTTCTCCAATATGGCTGCTGCACGGTAAAAGACTTTCTTCTCCCTGGCGGTCAATGCTGATGTTCTTTGGCAGCGCTCCTCCCTGGATTTGAATGGGAGCACTTAGGAATGACCCAAAGCAGGTGTGGACCCACCTGGGAAGGGGAATCTTGAAGATTCCAGGTCCCCATGGGAAGGGTTAGAAAGTCCCTGGGCAAATCCATCCTCCTTGTCAGCAGTTTGTTTACTAAGGAAGTCTGAGTATTAACTTTCACTTTTTGAATGTATTGTTTTATTTTCCTTTTTGCCCTTAAAAGTTCTAACTGTTCTTTTTTTGTTTCCCTTTATGTTGCTGCTTTGAATAACTTCTGCTTCCACATAATGAAACATGGCATGTTTTGGGATGGTGAAGTGCTTTCACTTTATTTACATTAATATTGGACTTTCACCACAAGACTTTTGTATTTTTTATATTTGCAAAATATTCAGAGTTTATTTCTTTAGAATTTTTTTTTCAATCTTGGGTTGAAATATCTAGAAATTTTTCTGCTTCAGTGTTCTTTTTCTTTGTTCCCTGATCAAGTTACACAGAGCAACAAGGTATCACATTACAGACAAGCAGTAGTAGCTGAAATATGAGAAAAGACTTTCTGGTAACATGCAATTTTTAATTGAGAGCTTTTTAAAAAAGTTTAATGAGATGATAACGGTTGTGGAAAACACACAGAGTCATATAGCTCTGAATAAGTTAGATTCACAAAAGGACACTGATATGAAAGTTGCAGAGCAAAGGGATAGGGACCCCTTGACTGAAGGGAGAAGTGACAAATTGTTCTTTCCTAGGAGGACTGAAGGAAATTGGAGAATGAATTTATTACCCTTAATTGGAAACCACTTCTATTTGGACTTTGCTAGGAAGATAGGCCACTGTGGGGATTGAATTTATTTTGTTTAATTAGACAACAATTGGTAAGAGATGGCATTAAGAAACAAGCATGGATATTTGATCCAGGATGAATTACTCTTAATTTTGGGATGGTTTGGGGTAGATAGGATACAGTGACAAATTTTCAATGAATCAATTATGATAACAGCTGGTTAACAAAGCGTTTTGATATTTTAATCTTGTTTTAATTATTATTATTATTGCTATTAACTATTTTGTCCTCAATATAGCATATAGATGACAAATCAATATTTTGCAAATAGATTTACTAATTCACTAATTTGGGAGGAGGATTATTTCGCAAGGAATGGGAACCAATATTTTAGTAATGTATAAATCAGTATTTAACTAGGGGGATAATATCTGTTGTGTACTGTATATGTTGGTTTATTTTTCAATGCATTTTTCAATGTCATGATTATTTTGTGTTTTTGTGGTTAGTGATTTTTATTTTTTTATTTTTTAGGAGTTTTATATTTTAACTTCCTTTTGAATATTTTTTTTTAAACAGAAAAAAGGATACCAGGCCAGCAAAGTCCCTGTGGAACGATTTACCTGCAGAGATCCGGACCCTTACCACTCTCCCGGCCTTCCGTAAAGCCGTCAAGACCTGGCTGTTCCGGCAGGCCTGGGGCTGTTGTTTTTTATTCATCCCCGTTTAATCGGAATGGGGGACAGGTATTTTAATACTGTATTTTTATTTTTTATCTCTATTTTTTTTTTATTAAATGTTTCTTGTCTGTTGTGAGCCGCCCAGAGTCCCTATGGGAGTGGGCGGCATACAAATTCTAATAAACTTGAAACTTGAAATTCTGAATTGGTCAGCTATTGATTACTTTCAAGAAGACCTACAAAGTGCAAAAAGGCAATGATACCTGCTCATGACTGTTGTGGGCTACCTCTCTGATATTAAAATATGTTGGAGATGGAGAAGTTACAAAGTCCCAGTCTCTTTGTATGTGCTGAAGCAAAAGTTTCTGTAATCAGGCTCTGTGAAAAACCCTGAGGCTGAGGGCTCCTGCCCCTAAAGTTTTAGTGTACTTCCACCATCTTCTCCCCTGCCAGGCCTGCTCTTTGTTATTTTTTTTGTCCTGCATAGACTTTGGTACAACAGTTATGAAAGACTCAGGGACACCAATAACCATGGCTAATTATGTCCCACAGATTGCAGATATGTCAACATAGGTTCTGGCCTATTGCACTTACTGTCCACAGAAAGCAGAATAACAGAATTGGAAGCAACCTTGGAGGTCTTTTAGGTAGACTTTGACTAATAAAAGTTCATTTAGCCTTAAAAATTACAACAGCACTAAAAAAATTGACTCATGACAATTTTTCATACTTATGCCGTTATCATATCCCCATAGTCATGTGATCAAAATTCAAATACTTGGCAACCGACTCATATTTATGACAGTTGAAGTGTCCTGGGATCAAATAATCACTTTTTGTGACCTTCTGACAAACAAAATTGGGAAGCTGGATACATTTAACAACCATGTTACCAACTTAACAACTGAAGATTCACTTAATAACTGTGGCAAGAAAGGTTGTAAAATGAGATAATATACATTTAACAACTGTCTCACTTAGCAACAGAAGTTCTGGACTCAATTGTGATCATATAATTATGCAGGGGGTTGGAGTAGGAGAACCTATACCATTCTGGACAAATTGCTGTCCAATTTCTTCTTAAAACCCTCCAGTGATAGAGCACCCACAAATTCTGAAAGCAAGCCATTCAACTGATTAATAGTTCTCACTGTCAGGAATTTACTTCTTTGTTCATTAGTTCTCCTTAGTTCTCTCCTTGATAAGTTTCCATCCATTGCTTCTTGTCCTGCCTTCTGGTGGCACCCTCTTTTTTGTAACAGCCCTTTGAATATTGGAACACTGCTATCATGTCATCCCTAGTTCTTTTCAGTAGCCTAGATGTAACCAATTCCTGCAGTTGTTGTTCTTGTCTTTCATCCATGCAGCAGTGTTGGCAGACCCTTATTTACCAAAGAGTATATGCAGGCCTGGAATGTTCCCAGTATACCAAACAATTGAAGAAGAAAAAGGGGCATTGGAAGAACATGCACAGGAAAAAACTGGCTGATGCTGGTATACCTTAATGACACACACACACACACATATGTGTGTGTATATGTGTGTGTATGTACACATACATACACTATATGTCATTACTCCCCGCCCCCCCAAAAAATCCCACTAAGTCCAAATTGTGACTCCCACTGTGAGCTGTGTCAGAGATAGCTAATCAGGTTCTTGGTTACCATGCTGGGTTTCCACTAATAAACAGACTGGAATGGAAGATTAAAGACCCATGTAATCCCATAAACCCAGGGAACTCTACTGTCAATCCACCCACAGACTCAAACAGAGAGACTGTTATGAAGTAGAGAGACCATATACTAGTCTCAGTTCTGATCCTCAGCCCACTTTCACAAACATGGAATCATAATTGGCTATCTACTGAACAGCAGTCCTGTAACACATTTGGAATATTTGATAAAAATAGTTACACTTCTGCATAGGCATCCAGGTTGGATGTCTCAACATTATGAATAGAAATTGCCTAAAGAATGCCTGTAAACTGATATGTGATATTCAACTTGCTGTTATTTGTGGGCGCTCTTGCCTTGAGGGTGATAATCTCAATTAACTTAGTTGTTAAAAACAGAAGTAACCAAATCATCAGAGAAAATTAGTCAAATCATCAGAGAGGATAATTGAATTACAACATTCATTCTTACCTAAAAAAATCTCATTGTAATGGAGTGATTTGGAACCATTCCAGTATTTGTCAACCAAGTCAAGTAAATGTTGCATGGGTGTTGCTTCACATAAATTTTTATTCATCATGTGGATTGTTCCTTGAGGTAGTGCCTTAAATAAAACCAATACGTATATTACAATTTATCTAGTATGAACCTTTCTTATGTGCTGAAAGCAGATTAAAATAAAAATATGTTGGTAATAAATTACAGTGCATGTAAAAAATTAAGTTGCAACTTTCTCCTTCACTTTTTCTGAAAAAAACTAAATCTGAAAAAGATGGAAATAACTTATGATGATGAGGCTCACATAAAATGCACTATAGATTCTATATTCCTTCCACTCCATTTTAGGTGTAATATATTTGACTAAAGACTATTTTAGATACTTGCACATAAATGTGGACCATCATCGAATTTACAAAACCTAGTTCTTAATTCAATAAAGAACAGCTTTTTCAATAAACAATATTGTAGTCTATTCATTGACACTTTGCATATTATTTAAAACCTCAGCTTCAAATGATTAAGAATTAAAGCACTGTATGGTCTAACTGAGGGGTATCAAACTCAAGGCCAGGGGACCAGATCTGGCTGTGGGGTGCTTAGACCCAGCCCCCGGAGTCACCCTAGAAACAGCAAAGGACCAGCAATTGTTCTTTTTTGCGTAGTTTGTCTGAATTCTATATGTCTCATCGATCTCACTTGCCATCTCATCCTTTCCTATTCCCAAAGCCTTTGCCATAAGGTCTGCCATCGTGTCTGGTAAATCCTCGACTTTTTCTTCCTTTACATTCTGAAATCGTAGAAATTGGGCCGCTTTCTCTGACTCTAATGTGAGGACCATTAACTCAAGTTCTTTGTTTGCCTGAATCAGCCTAGAACTCAGCTGCTCCATTTCCCCCCCCCTCGTTCTCCAACTTTCCTTCTATTACATTTTGTTCATGTTTATTGATCTGTTCCTGGAACTTCTCAAATTTATCATCCATCTTCTGCATTCTCTCCTTTAGTTCTCCAGTATCATTTCTTATTTCTCTAATATCCTTTTTAGTTCTTCGTGATTTTTAGCCATTGCCTCTTGCATAGTCTGTAATATCATGTGAAGCTCCTTAGTTAAAATGGATCTTTCTCTCTGGAGCATATCCTCCAATGATCTTTGGTTTCAAGGGCTGGCAGCCGCTAGAGACAGCTGGGGTGCTGGCTTCCTCCCCGTGCCAATTTTTGTTAGATTTGTAGTGCTTGTCATTTTTTGGAAGAATTGGATCCC